GCGCCATGTTTCTCATAACAATTCCTTCACAGCTGCACTGCACGTTACATGCACACACTGCTCTTTATGGGAAGCAAATTTCCTACGTGTGTCCAGTGTTGCAAATTTCATCATGTTTGAAAAGGTGCATCACACCACAATTAGCGCGGCGTGTCGGAAAAATTCAGGGAACAAGTCCTCCGGGAGGGACTTTAAGCCGTGGGTCCCGTGTCGTAGCTTTACGGCACGTAAAAGAACCTCATGTCCCAAGAGGACCACTGAGCCAAATTCAGGACATTTCCCGCCCAACAGTAGTCTCTAACGCCTCTGGTAGATGGGGGAAGCATCGAGATACCGCTGAGACAGTAGAGGCCGAACTCGCTGCCTGAGTCGGGACAGATGGCACGCACCAGTACCGGTAGGGAATAGAGACTGGTAGAATATCATAGGGGGACGCACAATGGACCAACAGTTGGTCTAAATGCATGGGGAAACCCACCCTCTCCAGTACAATACAATACTCATAGAATTTCCTTCACAGCTGCACTGCACGATACATGCACACGCTGTTCCTTGTATCTTCATTTAGTCTATGTTTAGGCTACATAGCCAAGTGGTGGATGATTGTGAACGATGGTGACCTACAGTGATGGTATCGTAAGGGGTGCTCAGTAAAATAAAACCGCCAGAGACTACCAGGATATACGGAAATGCGGGGCCGCGAAACACCCTGCACGTAGAAGCTCGGTGCGCGTCCAGAGAAAAGTTACCATGTGTGAGTATAACTTACTGCAAGGAGCAGAGTTCTTCTTGTAGAGCTAATAATCACTGTCAGGATTCGAAACAGTTACTTTCCGAACGCAAGTCCAGAACGCTGGTACATTTTGTTAGAAGAAGTTTCAAATTCAAGTAGTCGACTAGATGGATTCATGTAAGTGAAACGTAACCTCCCATTCTTCGTTATTATTTTATTTACTCCCAGATAAAGCGTCAGTCCAGTTTGGGATGGTTATGGTACAGATTAAATGAAGGTGAGATTCATAGCTCATAAGTAAACAGATGACGTACACAGCACAACTGAAGCAGCCTTGCCTTGGTTTTGTATATGTGTGTGTGTGAGTGTGATGACTGGATTCATCTGGCTTAGGATAGGGACTGATGGAAGGCTTTCGGGGAATTTCTTGACCAGATGATTGTCTATCAAAACAAAAAAAAATCTCTGTGGCTTGAGTCTACAAGTGAACTATACTGACCGAGCTACCACCGCTTGTCGGCAAAGTTAGGGCCAACTTTAGCCGATAGAGGGTGTCGTGTGGTGAGCGCGTTTTAATTTCGGTTAAAGTCGGCCGTTAATTTCGGTTTTCTAGACCGGAGCCGGTATTATCTTGAAATAGCTCCTCATTTATCCTCACGAGGCTGAGTGGACTAAGAAAATCTGGTAGCGCTGGGAATTGAACCCGGGACCTTTGGTTCTATAGCCAGGAACTCTGACCACTAGACCACAGAAGGGGGCCAGATTGTATATCAGCTTGAGAAATGTTGCGGACTAGTGCAAACGAATGGCAAGGTCGGTGAAAGATGCAGCAGAGTCGCAAAGCGCATGTATGGCAACTCCAAACTGAACTGAAGTGTACATGTCCGCTTCCTTTGTGAGTTGTCTCATCATTCTTAATGCATGTCCACCTTTCAGCTGCTCTCTTTTCCTTCTTCGCAATCGATTTTGTGGACCATGACAGTAATAAGACGTTGTTAGCCTTATAACAGTCTCACATCCACCCAATTTCATTCCATTTACTGACTATTAATATATTCTATAAGGGGTCATAAATATTCTCCTAGAATAGCAATTATCTAAGAAATTACAGGCTCATTTTCAGTCTAAGGCGGAACCTTTAAGGATAAAGCTTCATTTGCAAATAGTTCCGATATTACTCTCGCCTATGTAATCAACTTTTTTATCAACGTAGACTTTCTATAAATATATCTTATACTTCGATAGTTCCGAACATGAAGATTCCGAGAACACGGATGATTAGTGAGCGTCATTTTCATGTCTTGTTGAAATCTAATTCATGTCCATGAATTCGGGAGCAGCAGATTGTGATATTATGCCTGTGGTGAGGTTAGTGATGATGTTCTTAACTGGAATTTAAATAATGCAGCGGGTATGGAGTGTGGTGTTGGGGTATAGGTCTATAGTGAAGTTACGATAAAAAAATTAAGGTCACGCACGATCAGAGGTCAGGTGGACAACAGAAATACGTGGTCGGAACGTTCTTCAAAAAAGGGGGGGGGGATCTACCTCAGGGTATGGACTCACCTAGTGAAATAATTTTTTTTTAAAGAATGCTGCATTGCGGTCAACTCAAGAAGAATGAGATGACGGGGCCCCTTTCATCTGCACTCACCATACATGTAATTACAAAAAAGAGGGCTTCAAGTATGAAATTTATGTTATGAGCCTCCTCCCATGTTATACCACAAGCTCATTTGAGTTCCTGTACAGATTTTAATTGCCAGTTTTCTCTCTTGTATTCATTATGCCCACATTGTTCTCTCCTTAGAGAAAGAAAAAAACTCAACATTCCCCGTATATCATGATAGGATTCAGCAAAAACTGATACATTTATAGCCGTTTCCGATACAAATGAGGCCCCTTTGTTGTCAAGAATAAGTTTTGTGTAAATCTAATTCAATTTTAGAGTCCTATGCATTATGAAACACTGACTCTCTTCGTTATTTATTGTGCTGCAGAAAGAGCAGGTGATGTTTTAATAAGTTGGTAATCAAATTTGGGTCGTACCTAAGGAAGAGATGAGGAAATCACGGGTAAATTACAGTCACACGCCGTAACAATTGTCCTTTTACCTTAATAATCTTCACACTGACTCTTATAATGAGTGTTGATCGAATCTCGAAGTAATTAAAGTAGGCAGTGTTTTGCCTATGGGAAGTACCATTGTAAGATGGTGACACAAAAATGTTTGCTTGTTGGATATATACGTTTGAACTGGATGCAAGAAACTTGTTTGAGAAATAACAGACTGTACCAATGGCCTTTTTAGTCTTGTGGAGCAGCAATTGACGATCCTAGGCGAAAAATGAATTTCCAGGGCTATAAGACGAGCCGTTGCCTATTTTGTTTCCCATTTATATTCATGAAAACAGGTGGACTGCTGGGGTGGGAGCTAAATGATGGGGTTGGAAGGTGATAACGAATAGGTCTAGCCGTCAAATGCGGATACTGGTTCATTTTCCGATTACTACTATGGAATATAAAAACGTTGGATGCCCTCAAATCCACTAACCCTTTAAAGCCCAGTGGTTGATATACGACCTGCTTTAACACACGAAAACTGTACATTCTGCCCACGTAGCTCATGTGTATGTTACCCTCCAAACAGCATTAACCAGCTGGCCCTTGTAGCCGAGACATTGTGATTCCTGTGAGGTACGAACTGGATTTTTATATATTAGAATAAATTCAGCCTTTACAGAGGGTTAACAAAACTGGGATGCAGATTGGTTATTTTCTGCGCTAGCTATTCGCAATTCTTATACACACGAAACGGTTTGAAAAAAAAAACTTTAGGTGTAAGCTGACCTAACGTATTTTTCTCTGGTTTCTATTTTACTATTTTCTTCAGATGAGTGGTTCCTCACGTAATCATCCCCTCGTCTCATTTGACGCTAAGTAACCTTTGTAGTAGGCCGCGCCATAGCTCAAGCGGTTAGTCGCTGGCTTCCCATCGCGGCGGCCCGGGTTCGATCCCAGGTCTGGCCAAGTGGGATTTGTGGTGGACAGAGTGGCTCTGGGGCAGGTTTTCTCCGAGTACTTCGGTTTCCCCTACCAATCTTCATTCCACCAATTGTTCCACAATCACCCTCACCTATCTGGGGCTGGTACAATAGGCCAGAAGTGTCCTCAATACATGGGACTTAGTCCCACCCCACTAGCAATAAAAAACCTTTGTAGTACATATAGCGTCATTAAATATTTATGTTGGTAACTAGTATCTTGTCATAATGATAAAGCTATCCTTTTAACAGGTCGTGAAGGCCCAAAGGGCTCTGAGACGTCGAGTGTCCCACATTTTATAGACAATCGGCTCACAGATGGCGGTAAGTTTGTCAGCCTTGCGCGCCGGCTGCCCTTTACGCCACAGGAAGATCCATGGTACTCATTTCTGTTAGAGGCTGAGTCGACCCAAGGACCATAGTGCGGCTGGAAAGATTAGATCAGCTGCAAAATCCAGTTACCTCATCTGGAATAGAATCCGCTTGTAGCATAGTGCCTCAACCAACTACGCTACCGCGTGCCGCCATCTACTGGGCTTTCCTGCTGCAATGTTTCAGATTATGAGGAAGCTTCTGTATAAGTGTATGCATGTACAGCTTGTATCCAGCTCCTCTCGCTTTGTTGCAGTTCCCGCATTCGTCATGGTATACCACTAGATTAAATATGTGAAATGAGATGATTATCATCATTATCGTTTTCATTTAGCTTTTAGTCTTATGTCCTTCATGAAATCTCCGTTATACTGTTCGCATTTTTGTTCCTCTATTTTACCGAGTGCTTGCCTGTAATTGGTCTTTTAGCTGTTATAAAGCTCTTCAGAAAATTAATATAATTGAATGGAATTGTGCCTGTAAATATTTTTAAAAAATCATTTTTTCGTGTTGCATGTGAAGGTACTAATACGAATATTACGGTTTGTGATCGCGCTACTTAGGGTCTACATTCCTGAAATTAAGGGGACCAATTGCATCGTACTGAAATAGAATTTAATTTCCGAATGTGTTTTGAACGATAAGTTAAACACTAGATTCAGACATAGAGTCGCAAAATTATGACCAGATTTTTTTACAACTGAATTACAACAAAGAATCTTGCTTTGTTATATTTATCCACACGGTTCAGGGGAAGAGAGTCTGCGTCTGTTCTCAGAACTGTGTACTCGTAAACAATTAACCCAACAGATCTCTCTTTCAATGTGATTATTATTAGCTTTCTTCTACAGCTTCACACCTGAGATGTTGATGGAGCAGTGTCCGAAACTAGGCCTTGTAGTTGACCTGACCAACACCAGTCGCTATTATAACGGAGAGGTAAGTAGCTCTTCATTCCCGAGCAGAGTGCTTCAGATATCAGTAGTCGCTTGGCTGGTCAAAGAATTTTCTGCTTTTTATAGAATTCAAACTTTCATTACCATTAGGTTCTAAAGTGTTCTGGCGATGGTGTATAATACTTAGAATTACTAGGTTTTTGGTCTTTGTCCATCGTCCGGTATTCTAGAAACTAGAAAACACAACGTTCCGGAAAGTGGATCTCTTTTCCATCCTCAGGTGAGAAAAGAAAATACATATTCTTTTGGGTCCCTTAGAAAGGGTCCCTTGGGTCCCTCAATCACTCTACACCCTTGTCAAATTCACTACAGATATTTAATTACCTGAAACCAGGCTAATTCGGAGGGAGATAACAAGAAAACATGTAGTAAAAATTGAATTCGTGCTAATGCACTTGGTTTTGTTGGATAGGTTTGTAGCATAAATTTCTGCCTCTTATTCTATCCTAGTTCCATAAATGTGCGTGCTTTCTCGCACGAGATGTAGGTGAATGTCAGTTTCACGCTCCGGTCGTTTTACCCCCGGAGAACGAGACCCCGGTGTCCATTGGATAGGAGGTTGGGTGGACCCCAGAGCCGGTCTGGACGACGTGGAGAAGAGGAAATTCTCGACCCTACCGGACTCGAACTCCGATCCCTCGGTCGTCCAGCCGGTATCCAGTCCCGGTTCCTTAAGAAGTGGTATTCTAAGGAATCATACTGAAGTACTGAAGATTAAGAATGTTAGTGAAGACTGTCTTGCTTCAGTTGCACCAAGATTTGTCCGTCCAGAAGGGCGTGTCTACGTTCTGGATCGTGTTAGAGTTATGTATGATCACATCACATCGCATCCAACCCACAATCCGGACCGTGCACCGCGAGAGAAGGAGGTTCTGAAAATACCCTATGAGGTTCGGAAACCAAAGATGATATCTAACAGCATATCAGCCACCGGCTTTGCTAGTGTGAACTTTCACTAAACCTGTAAGTGAAGAACACTGCCCCCATTAATCAAACCTGGTAATACCACATATAGTGGTTCAGTCTTGAAGATTATGTAGACGCAATAAAGCTGAGAAGCTCACCCTTGGTGTCTTCTGTTTGTTTTCGAGATAAAAGTTCTGTTACACTTATTCGTTTCAACCTGTTCTCCAGCCGCAACCATTTGCAGTCATCCTGTCGTCTCTTGGCTGCGTGTAACCTCCGCAAGAAGCGCAAGCGCAGTCTCTCAGTCGTGAAACAAGAGCAGCTGGACGTGTTCTCCCCTTGTGCTGTGTGTTACAGCGCTGTCAATATCGCAGACTATATGGTGTCGAATGCTAAGAAGATTGGTGAATAATATATTGGAAGCGATCTCGGAGGAAGAGGTCGTGGCCTGTTCTAGGTACTATACCGGAATCTGCCTAAAGAGACTGGGGTAATATCGAAAACATCAGTCAGGATGGCCGGTGTTGCGGCCGAGATACGAACCGGTCACTTTTCGAATACAATTCCCGAGCATTACCGCTCTGTGATGTCTGCCCATGTCCTTGTTGAAATCTTCAGTTATGTAGATTGAATGGTGGAGTTTATGCGTACATGTATGTGGTTCGCTTGCGGACTAAGGCCACGGAGTTTTTTTTTTTGTATGTGAGAATCTTATTGGTGAGTTTTAGGTGGCCTTTATATTTGACCAATTGGACGTATGTAGCCCAATAAAATCAATGTAATTTGTAGTAACACGAATGTGGGAGAAGAGGAATACATATTGGATATTGGTGGGAAAGCCAGAAGGAAAGAGACCACCAGAAAGACCAAGACGTAGGTGGGTGGACAATATTAAAATGGATTTTAGAGAGATATGATTCCTTCAGTTTACCAAAGAGATGGTAATCAGAGGCCGCCAAATCAGTGTTATAAGGAAGGTGTGGCAATGTTTTCCATCCAAGTTTTGTGATCTCGTCCTTCGTTTTCTGACGTGTGGTCGGGCGTTATCGTGTAACAGCAGAACATCCTCTTTCTACCGATGCGGTCGAGCACGACACAGTCGAGCTTGAAGTTTCTTTACGGTTGCCACATATGCGTCAGAATTAATGGTGGTACCTTGTGGCATGATGTCCACAAGCAAAAGCCCTTCTGAATCAAAAAAAAAAAAACATAGCCATAACTTTTCCTGCCGAAGGCGCAAATTTGAATTTCTTTTTTGGGGGGGGAAGTTCGCATGGTGCCATTCCATTGGTTGCTGCTTTGTTTCTGATTCAAAATGGTGCAGCCATGTTTCATCTCCCGTCACAATTCTCACAAGAAAGTCATCTCCACTATTCTCATACCGTGCCAAGAGTTCACCGCACACAATTTTTCCGGTTTCTTTGTGGGCATCTGTCAACATCCTCGGAACCCACCCTGCACAAACTTTTTTCAATCCCAGCTTTTTCAATATTCTGCACACACTTGCTTCCCAAATTTCCAGTTGGATTGACATTTCTTTCACAGTCACACATCTGTCCTCCAGAAACGTATCGTTAACATGCTGCACATTGTCAGGTGTTTGTGCGGTCTGCGGTCTGCCAGTGCGAGGAGAATCCCGAATATCTGCGTGCCCACCGACTAACTGTACTGCGATCAGCAGCGTCTTCTTCATACGCATAATTCAATCGCTTGTGAATGTTTCCCACTGTCTCATTCTCACAACACAAGAACTCTATAACAGCACGATGCTTTTGACGAACATCAAGCGCAGCAGCCATTTTGAAGAAGTGCTATGACAGCACTACGCATGGGAACGGGTTGAATTAAATTTGAATACAAGTGGGAAGGATCTTTCTATGCACCCTACAAATAGCAAAACTGTAGAGTAAAAACTGAATTTTTAAAAAAATGTTGTGCATTACTTTTGGAGTCTCCGACGTAAAATGGATATTAGAGAGATACGATGGAGTGGTATGGACTCAATCGCTCTGGTTCAGGATAGGGACCAGTGGAGGTCTCTTGTGAACACAATAATGAACCTTCGGGTTCCATAATATGCTGGGAAGTTCTTGAGTAACTGCACAATTGGCGGCTTCTCAAGAATGAAGTTATTTAGTTTAGTTAATTTTTTAGTAACAAAGCTGCATGTCTAATAGAATTTCGACAAATCACAAACCTGATGTAACCATTTTATTATCTCAGAAAAGTGGGAATACAGACGGATTAGTAAATTGTATCTGAGACATAACCGGTTCGATTGTCTGCGGGAGCATGAACTATATTTACTGAGAATTATTTCTGTGGTTTCTATAAGTTCTTAAATAGTGTCCGTAATAGTACTCTAATGTAAAGCATGATCACTTCCTTCCACATCCTTTCCTGTTCATCCCATCATCTGATTCAGCTCCAAATGTAAAAGAAACATGTCCAGTATAGAACCCGAAGGTTGGACACTGCCACTAGAGAAGATCCAGAGATAGTTTTTTTTCCTTGGCACTACAGTCCCAGTGGGCCTAGGCCTACCTCCATGAACTTCTCCGTTCACTTCGGTCTTTCTAGATCTTACACATTCGGTAGGACTCCTTGGGCGGGTGATCAGCTTGTCGCAAGACCTCTACTTGTACACAAACACAGAAAAACGCACACAAACATCCATGCCCTGAGTGGGATTCGAACCCACGATCCCGGCTTCCGAGCGAGCGAAGACAGTGCATGCCTTAGACCGCTCGGCTACCGTGACCGGCCAGAGATAGGTTAGTCTAGTTAATACCGTGTGGCTCGTCGCAAAGAATCCATAAATTTCCGAGGTGATATCGTCAGATGTGTAAAACACACAACTTCATAATGGCTGCTGACTTGTGCATTTCTTAGGTTACTGTAATTTGCTGTATATACTCGTACATCGTACTGTTGAAGTTAAGTGACGGTCAGTGGATGCGGTAGTGGCTGGAGAGATGCGAGAGCAAACCTCTGAAACCTCAGGCAAGATAGCCGGTCTCTGGCCGGTACTTCCCGAATGCGTGTCACGTGTGAGGAGCCGTGCGAAACCTATTGGCGAATGTTGCCGCTCAATGGCTATAGGCCACGGCAACTTTCTCCTCTGTGTAGAACTACAAGGTTTATTTTGGACTCTATCCATCCTTTGATATATATAAGACAAAACCACAACATTTCGGAGACTGGATCTGTCTCCTTCCTCAGGTGGATGGCGCAAGACAGACCTACTCAGTTGGGCCCGTTAGAAAGAGCTAGTCTCAATCACTGGGCCCAGTAGGTCTATCTTGCCCCATCCACCTGAGGACGGAGACAGATCCAGTCTCCGAAACGTTGTGGTTTTGTCTTATATATACCAGACGGTGGATAGAGTCCAAAATAAACCTTATAATTCTGTACAACATACACCATCGTCAGAATCCTTTAAAGTCTATTTCTTCCTCTGGTTTTTGCAAATCACTGCACACACACATCAACTCATGCATTCTGCAGTAAAGCTGTCAGTTATTTAATGACGCTCTCATCAACTCAGGGCACTATGCTACAAGCCGGAAGGTCGCGGGTTCAAGTCCCGATGAGGTCATTGGATTTTTTCAATTGACCTAATCCTTCCAGTCGCACTATGGCCCTGGGTCGGCTCAGCCTCTAACAGAAATGAGTACCAGGAATTAATTAAATTATTTTCCTGGGGAGTATAGCGCGGCCGGCGCGTAAGGCTGACAACCTTACCTCCATCTTTGAGCCGATTGTCTAGATAATGTGGGACCCTCAACGTCTCGCAATCCTATGGGCCTTCACATCCTGTTATAGGGATAGTTTTACTTTACTTGCTCATTAACTCAGAATGGTTGGTTGATAGTGAATTGCAAAGGATGTGGAAGGAAGTAATCATGACTCAGTAAGTATTATCCCAGCATTCGCTTGGAGGAGCTGATGAAAACTACCAAGTCAGGATAAGCGGTGTTCGTGCTGAGATTCGAACCGTAAACCTCCCGAATACAAATGAGAAGCGTTGGCGGTTGAGACAGCTATTTCGGCCTGTATTGATAACCTTGTGCAGTT